CCTCCATTCTAACTCATAAGATGATATGATCTGGCTGAATTAAGCAACAGGACAAAATAGAAATACCACACCAAACAAGAGAGGGCGTGAAAGAAATTTCATGGCTGAATATAAGTATAGGACAGAGACAGTGAACAACCATAGTTTTGTGGTATGGTAAAGGCAAGAACTATTTTTATCTCTTGACAGTGTAGAATTTACACTAGGTTTTCTGTATTTCCAGACCTGACCGTTCTTATTGAGCTCCAAACTAGCTCATTCAGTTGCCTATACAACAATCCTGCAAATGTTGAGCAAGGTTAAATGAGAATTCATTATTTTCTTGAAAAAAAAATCAAACACAAAATGAATCTGCTTTTTCTTCTGCAGTCTTCCTTAGCTCTGTAAATGACATCAATATCTACCTAGTTGCTTATGCCAAAATGCCAAAAAAGAAGAAAGAGGAATAATGAGTGCTATTTGGAATAGGGTTGGGATATTACAAATTTAAAGAGTGCATTCAGAGAAGACCTCTCTGAGAAGGTACATTTGAGCTCATACTTGAAGGAGGTAGAAAATGAGTTGTGCAGATATCTGGGATCAGATGGGGTAAAGATGGGAGCATGTCTTTGTCTCCCTCTGAAGCAAAAGGTAGACACTTTTACTGACCATTACAAGAGATTTGGGTTCTCTAAGCTCAGAGTTCTGTTGCTATAATATAACCCACAGCATTTGCAGGGGTCATCTGTTCACCTTCAGATCACCTGGTGCAGCCCCACCTACATCAATAGACATATCATCCAGACAGAAAATCAGTAAGGAAACACTGGCCTTAAGTGGCACATTAGATCAAATAAACTTTATATATATATATATATATATATATATATATATATATATATATGTATATAATATTTCATCCAAAAGCAGAATACACATTCTTTTCAAGCGCATGTTGAACATTCTCCAGGGTAGACCACATGCTAGGCCACAAAACAACTGTCAGTAAATTTAAGAAAATTGAAACCATATCAAGCATCTTTTCCAACCACAGTGCTGTGAGACTTGAAATCAACTACAAGAAGAAAAAAAATGCAAAAAAACCAGACACGTGGAGGCTAAACAATATGCTACTGAACAACCAAAGGGTCACTGAAGAAATCAAAGAGGAAATTTTTTTTAATCCTGGAGACAAATGAAAATGGAAACACAATGATACAAAATCTATGGAACAGCAAATGCAGTTCTAAGAGGGAAGTTTATAGCAATACAAGCCTACTTCAGAAAACAAGAAAAATCTCAAATAAACAACCTCACCTTACACCTAAAGGAATTAGAGAATGAAGAACAAATAAAACCCAAAGTTAGCAGAAGGAAAGAAATCATAAAGATCAGAGTGGAAATAAATGAGATAGAGACTGAAAAAAATAGAAAAGATCAGTGAAACTGAGAGTTGTTTCATTGAAAATATAAACAAAATTGATAAACCTTTAGCCAGACTCACCAAGAAAAAAAGAGAGAGGGCCCAAATCAATAAAATCAGAAACGAAAAAGGAGAAGTTACAACTGATACCACAAAAATACAAAGGATCATAAGAGATTACTACAGACAACTGTATGCCAATAAAATGGACAACCTAGAAGAAATGGGCAATTTCCTAGAAATGCACAGTGTCCCAAAACTGAACCGGGAAGAAATAGAAAATATGGACAAACCAATTACAAGTAATGAAATTGAATCAGTCATTTTAAAGCTCTCAACAAACAAAAATCCAGGACCAGATGGCTTCACAGGTGAATTCTGCCAAACATTTAGAGAAGAATTAACACCTGTCTTTCACAAACTATTCCCAAAAATTGCAGAAGGAACACTTCTGAACTCATTCTGTGAGGCATCATCACCCTGATACCAAAACCAAAGGCATCACAAAAAAAAATTACAGCCAATATCACTGATGACCACAGATGCAAAAATCCTCAATAAAATATTAGCAAACTGAATTCAACAATACATTAAAAGGATCATACACCATGATCAAGTGGGATTATCCCAGGGATGCAAGGATAGTTCAATATCTGCAGTATGGAGTTTCCTCAAAAAAACGAAAAATAGAACTACCATATGACCCAGCAATTCCACTCCTGCATATATGTCTGAAAAAAACAAAAACACTAATTCAAAAAGATACATGCACCCCAGTGTACACAGCAGCATTATTTATGACAGCCAAGATACGGAAGCAACCTATGCAACCTAAGCAAACTATGAAAACTTCCTCAATCTGGTACTAAGTTTAATTTTTCTGAAAATAATAAAATTAATATAGATTTCTTGGGAAAAGTTGTACATAAATTCATCAAGTAAAAAGAGAAGAGTTGTTAGTTGACCCTCAGTAATGTATTAAACTAATGGTGATCATGTAGGCTTTCCTAAAATTTACTTTCAGTAGATTTCACTTGATAGTCCTGACTGGTTTGGGTGAGACGACCTGTGCCACCAAACTCAGTTCTTACAAATTTTTCGCCTATATCAGGCATAAAATCAGGAATATAGACATATAACTACAAAGAAATGTTATTGATTGGATACATTGGTGGGTTTCTAACATTCATGTGTTTCATCCTTAACAGACTACTTTTACATGTATTATGATTGTTTCCTATGCAGTAGATGGGGCAACTTTTTCATTTTATAAACAAAGATACTGAGATACACCTAATGATAATCATAGTTACTGACATTTTGTGAGCACTTACCATGTGCCAGGCATCGTTCTTTGTGCTCTGCAAGTATTAACTTAATTCTAAGAACAACCCCATGAGGCAGGCATTCTATTTTTCTTCATTTATAGATCAGGAAACTCAGGCATGGAGATGTTAAATAACTTGCCTAAGTTTATAAGGAGAGCTGGGATTTAAATGCAAGCAATCTGACACCTGATAAGTGCTCCAAACCACTGCACAATTCTACATCTGGAAGAAGTTGAGTATCTTACAAGTCACATGGTTAGTAAGTGGCACAGGCAGGACCCAAACTAGGCCTCTGACTTTGAGCAGTTTGTAGTGTACACTACCAGGATGTCTTAAATCCATTTAATTATACGTTTGATCAGTGTCTTGTCCCCCAATTATTACCTTGCATCTTTCTCTTTTTTTTCCCTTTTATTGAATTTCAGTTGCTGTACACATTGCATCTTTCTTGCAGACAAAAAGTATCATCTATTTCCTTTGTAAATTCTCTGATTATTCCTTCCACTGAATAGGTTGTCAAGGGTATCATCGGTGTCTTAAGTAAAACACACAAACTTCAGGTACAGCCAAAATTCAAAAAATATTTTCACGGAATTTACTTATTTTACACATACAAAATGTCCATTTAAAAATAAAAAGAGGGACTTCCCTGGCAGTGCAGTGGTTAAGAATCCACCTGCCAATGCAGGGTACATGGGTTCGATCCCTGGTCCAGGAAGATCCCACATGCCACGGAGCAACTAAGCCTGTGCGCCACAACTGCTGAGCCTGAGCTCTAGAGCCCAGCCCGCGAGCCACATGATCCCACGTGCCACAACTATGAAGCCCACGTGCCTAGAGCCCGTGTTCCGCAACGAGAAGCCACTGCAATGATAAGACCGCGCACCACAACAAAGAGTAGCTCCCGCTCGCCGCAACTAGAGAAAGTCCACGTGCAGCAACGAAGACCCAGTGCAGCCAAAAATAAATAAATAAAAAGAGACTTAATTACAATTTATGAAAATCAATTATAGTACCTGCTGTGTCTAAACTCTTGTGAACAAAATTTTATCCCAGAGAGCTTAAAATCTGACTTGGAAAAAACAAGACCCATAGGCACATGTTGAAAAACCAACCTGTCATGGACAAAATAAGCAACTTGCAAAGGAGCTGGTGCCAGCAAACTGCCTGAGATAAAGAAATGATTTATTTGGAATCAACAGCAGTGTAACCAGGCATTGGCTGCCTTTGTTTTTGCTCATTGCCACAGTCCTTCAAGGCACAAGCTTATTAGGGTTCTGGCTCCAGCTGGGTCTCTACTTTCCAGAATAAATCTATTTCAGTGGCATTTATGTCATATCATGCACCTTCCAATAGAATGGTTAGGAGAAAAGTTATTGTGCATTTGAACAATTAATATTTAGGAGAGTAATCTTGAAAGAAAATCTAGAAAAATGTTTGGAAATAACTCTTAGTTAACTTAAAATAATTTACCTATAAAATAGAAAACATGTAAATGGAAATACTCAACTTTTTAAGAAACATAAATTTTTATATTTTTGCAGGCATCTCTGACTATAAACACTTGTCTATAGTGTATAGTCTCTTGAATAAAAAGTGACTTATGGTCTTCTTGACTTATTAACATTGTGGTTTTTAAGTGATTTCCTAAAAAATGATGACAATCTTTTAGTTTTTAATGACAAGTGTTAAGAGACAGTGTTATTTCCAAATGTTACTGTGTTAGCACCTTGCTACATAGTTCAGGCTGTGCTGTGACATGAAACCAAAAAATTACAGCTTGCTGTTGATTATCCCCGGTGCTCAGTGGTAAGAGTGTTGTGGATAAATTAAATTGATAAATAATCCCCAAAACATCATTTTAGCCATTAGCTTCAAATTTCTTTCTTATTAAGACTTTTTCTGGACGACTACTATTAAGCCTCAGTATTAACAGATATTAAGCTTTAGCTTTCTCTTCCTACCTTCTGATGGGTGCAGCTCTCTGAATGAAATATGAATGCAAGGTGAGGCAGCACAAGAAAGTGCAGAATTCAAGAGCCTGCTTAATTCACAGAATGCATAATCAACCCTGAATATTCAGGGCTTGGCTCTGATTCAGCCATCAAACCCTTTATACAGAGGACTTATTTAGGAGAGCTAGTGAATTGAAAGCCAGGTCACTCGAAGAAATGGAACGATGATCCTTTGACTACCATGTGAGAAAGGCATCTACTGAAAATACCTCTCAAACATCTACTTGTTTAAAAAAATAACACTTTACATTCCAGGTGATCACCTTCTTTAGCTCGAGGTTGCTACAAGCTGGAGCTGAGCTGTCAGTGGAACGGGTTCTGGAAATCATCAAGCAAGGGGTCGTCGCACTGCCCAAGGACAGGCTGAGGGTAAGACTGGGGGAAGAAACATACTGTTGTATCACTTGATGTAAATATTAGTGTCTGAGTGGGCTCTATTCAGAATCATACCACTTACCCAGCACTTGCGCTGGAAAAGGCTCTCTAAACTTGCGCTGCCTACTCTACTGTATATTGACACACAGAACTGTGGTGAAGGATTCTGACAGTCTTCTAGAAGAAATAGCAAAAGGACTGTCTTCACACCACTGCATAGCCTATGAGTAACCACTGTATATACTATGAGTAATTCGTGTATATACTATGAGTAATTCGTATATATACTATGAGTAAAGGAGCACCTTATTTTTTTAACCCAATGAAATAAATACAGGCTTGTCAGTATCATCAAGGGTTGATGGGAAGATGGTGGTGGTGGTGATGGCGATGATGATCACTACAACAGTAGCTAATATTTACATAGTGTTTACTCAGTGCTTTTGGGAGGTTCTGAGTGTCTTATATATATTAACCTGACCAATCCTCTCAACAGCCCTTTGACGGTAAGTAGTGTTATCATCCTAATTTTCAGATGAGGAATCTGGTGCACAGAGAGGTTAAGTAATAAACCCAAAGCCATATAATTAGAAAATTAGGAAACTAGGAGATTCATACCCAGGCCATCCGGCTCCAAAGTCCACGCTCATGATCACCACGCTGTTTACTGTGTGCCCGGGAGTGGCTGTGGAAGAGGGTCGCTTCATGGACGAGGTAGGGGAAATATGGTATTTTGAGGAGGCATTGACATCTGTGTGTTAGATATGTTCCTAAGGGATCTCATGATGTAAAACTCATACTTCAAGACTAATTTTCCCATAGGAAAATATGTAAGGGGGATGTTTGGGGGAAGATGCGTGAATGTACAGCATTGTCACCTATTTTCACCTTAATACTTCTTTTAATTGTTTCCTTCACTACCTCTCAGTTTTTAGAGTGCCCGTTCCTAAATGAACAGCACACAGGGTGTCATCGTGAATGTTTGGGCTTCTTCATAGTGTTTTATCAGAACTAGCTTCTGTTCCAAGATTACTGTTTGGGGGGCTGTGTTTTTCAGCACTATCACTAGAACCGCTGCTTAATGAACATTGTAGGATATGAAAATATTTCCAGTTATAATAACAGTTTATAAAGCAACAGCACATTAGTAATAATCACTAGCAGAAGTTCCACTGTCCGTAAACAGCCGTGCAGTTCACGCAGTGCTGAGCAAAGGAGGGGTTTCTGCTTATCAGCTAAAATGGCACCACCATGTGGCAACAGCATAAAACCTGATTACGGTTCACCAGACCCTCCAGCTTTGACTTTACTCTCTTTTCCTGACCATTCCTGAAGTGCAGAGAATTCATATTATTTCCTTTCTTACCTAAAGTAAGACATCTGAGGTCTTTTGGGTTTTTTCTCACTGTTTCAAATTTATTTGAACTCTACCCTGTTAACCAGTACAAAAATCCATGATGATTAGACTGGCAACTCATAGGAACTGATGGACCGTGGTGTTTAAGCTAGTCAAGAAAGAAGTGGAACTATCAAGAAACCATAAGGAAAGGACAATGTAGAGGAGTCAAGGGAAGGGGGATTTTGATGAGATCAAAGAACCAGCATAGGGCTTCCCTGGTGGCGCAGTGGTTGAGAGTCCGCCTGCCGAGGCAGGGGACACGGGTTCGTGCCCCGGTCCGGGAAGATCCCACGTGCCACAGAGCGGCTGGGCCCGTGAGCCATGGCCGCTGAGCCTGCGCGTCCGGAGCCTGTGCTCCGCAACGGGAGAGGCCACAACAGTGAGAGGCCCGCGTACCGCAAAAAAAAAAAAAAAAAAAAAAACACTGAAACCCCATCGTGTCTCTCCTCTTGCACTGGTTTCCCATTTCACTGCACCTCCCCACCCCCAGCATCCTGTTTACCTCCTGTTCCTCTCCCCTTGTTCACACAGCTCTAGCTGCTTTGTTCTTTTCATTATTTCTTCAACATGCTTGGCATCCTCCTGGCTTTGGACCTTTTTAGTAGTTGTTCCTACTGCTTAGGACTCTGCTCTGAATAAGCATGCCTAATTCTCTCGCCTCTTTTTTTTTTTTTTTTTTTTTTGCTAAAGGTTTGCCTGGACCATTCTCTGTAAGACTTTCCCACCACATCCTCACAGATACTCCCAGACCCCCTCAAGCTGCTCTACCTTTTCTGTATTTTCCAGAGCATTTATCACATCCTAGTACCCTAGATCATTTTGTTATTTATTATATTACGCTGATTGTTCACTGTCTGTCTCCTCCTGCTAGACTATGAGCCCTAAAGGGCAGGGACCTTTGCTCACTATGTGCCCAAGCACTTACAGCAACACTGTCACAGAGCAGATGCTTGAGAAAGACTTGCTCAGTGTTGATGGAACCTTGTGGCAAGCTTAAACCTAATGTCATATGTCCTCATCATTGGTCATTGCCATCTTCTTTTGTACTTTCGTCCCCATTCCTCTTTGTGCTTTCTCTCCCCCAATGCAGCCACCTATTACTTCCCTGCCTCCCATATACCCTACACTGCCTTTTTAAACCCCAATTTCATGGTTAGGATGTATCCCCACACTCTCAGTCCCTGCACTGAATCTTCTCTCTTCACTACCTCTTTAACTGAAACCTGGTTCTCCCCTCAGGACTCCCAAACCCCTGCAGCCTTTGGAAGTAAAAGCTGCTTGTTCTTTCACACTCCCCAGCCTTCAGGGTCTGGAGGTAGGTGCAGTTGGTGTCTTCTTTGTTTTCATTATCCTTCTACCCTTAAGTACAAAGCTCTGTTCACATGAGGCTGGTACCAGCTTCTTCTCCTTATAGCTGCCACCTACTGACTCCTAGGCCTCTCTCTCATTTACTATAGCATCTGGCTCAGTCTTCCTTTCCGCCCATGGCTTATCATCCTGGGTGCCTATGATGCCCATGTGTATGGCCCATCCTTGGCTTCCAATTCATTAACTGGCTCAGTCACACTGACTTTCATTCACATCTGTGTCATTTCAGTCCCCCATTCATGGCCAAATCCAGACCATGTTGTCATGGAGATCTGCTCCTTTTGAACATCTTTGGTCTAAATATACTGCTCTCCAATCACAATTTCCATTTCTTCTACTATGCTGGTTCTTTTTTTTTTTTTTTGCAGTACGCGGGCCTCTCATTGTTGTGGCCTCTCCCGTTGTGGAGCACAGGCTCCAGACGCGCAGGCTCAGCGGCCATGGCTCATGGGCCCAGCCGCTCCATGGCATGTGGGATCTTCCCGGACCGGGACACGAACCCGTGTCCCCTGCATCAGCAGGCGGACTCTCAACCACTGCGCCACCAGGGAAGCCCAGGGTTTCAGTTTTAATAGGACCACTCTGGCTGATGCGTTGAGGGTAGACTATAGAGCAACAATGAAAGCAGAGAGATCAGTTAGACTATTGCTTGACTTGGACCACGGTGGAAAGGTGGAAGTGCTAACAGAATTCGTCCAAGAAATTGTCTGGTGGGCAGAGGAGTGCACTTAGGCCTTTTAGGAGACAGCTGTAGCCTGCATTGATTACAGAAGCTCCAGGGAATGGTGGCTGAACGTAGGTTCTGATGGACTGGTTAGAGAACTGGTCTGCAAGTACTGGAAGAACTGTTTATGGAAGTGGATTTGGACTTGGACTAGGTGGTCTCAAGGACAACTTTCAGATGTTGGCTAGCTGAGTCTTTCATCGTTAGATGCCTGGCTCTGCTTTGCTAAATGTTGTGCGGCTCAACAGTATACGTGAGTCGACCTGCTACTAGTTTCTAGAGGCTGTCTGTACTAGACAATTCAGAGCAAACTTTGGAGGCCACACACCATAAGACAATTTGGAAAACTTTCAGAGAATCACCAAAATTGTGAAAGGACACAGGGAGTGATTAGGGGAATTCATAGGATCCAAGCAGAAGAGACTTGTCTTCAAGTACTGGAAGAATTGTTTACAAAAGCAGATTTGGACTTATTATGTGTGGTCTCTGGAATAGGACCAATGGGTAGAAGGAACTTGCATTTCAGTCCCATAGAAGGGAGAACTTTCTAAGAAATGGAACTACAGTTGACCCTTGAACAATGTAGGGGTCCAGGGTGCAGAGCCTCCACACAGTCGAAAACCCAGATATAATCTATCATCAGCCCTCTGTATCCACAGTTCCTCTGAACTCACAGATTCAACCAGCCATGGATTGTGTAGTACTGTAGTATTCACTGTTGGAAAAAAATCTGTGCATAAGTGGATCCACCCAGTTCAAATCCTTGTTGTTCAAGGGTCAACTGTATTTAGAGATGGAATAGGCAACTTCTGGGAAGTGGTGCATTCACTGTCACTGGAGGCGTTAAGAGTAATAGGACGGTGGCCACTTGACAGGGATGCAAATAGGTTCCATCTTGCGTGAAGCTCTTATCTGTTGGTACTAGCTGGCCAGCACGGTAAATGGAGAAGGATTCTAAGGCTGAGTTCAGGTGCAGCAGGAAAAGTGCTGAGATCCATTAGCAACGCCTGCCATTGGCAACAGTGGCAGAAAGCCAGGAGCACATGTACAGTTATTTGCCATTCCAATTGTAAGGACTCAAATATTGGTGGGGAAAACCAACTGTGTGACTTTTAAGAACGTTTCCATTCCTAAGAGTATAAGTTTTTCTGTGTATATACTAAAATTATCATTTCCACAAAGCAGGAAACTGCATAAACTTTTGATAACAGTTTTTACTCTCAGAAGATGCAAGAAACAATAAGGAAATATTATTAATCTGGGGCCTTTTTATGACAGAGATCACCTTTCAGTTCATAATAGCAGAGGGCATAGTCAGGTTTGTATGCCAAAAGAACATAAATTGCTAAAAGTTGTATATGGTTCATAGCAAGAGAAAATGTAGTTCAACCGGGGTGGAAAACAAATAAAATAAAAAATATTAACTATTCAATCACTGATTGTTCTGTGTAAACAAATATGAGAACTACGTTTGTACTGAAGTATCTGTTTTCAGCTCTATAT